AGGCCATGTGGAGAAGTGAGCGCGCGCGAACAGGACACTCCCAACCCACATGAGCCTATGGCAGAGGTTGCAGGCCCGTGCCTAGCTAGCTGTCCAGAGACCGCTTGTGTTAGCGTCTCTTTAGGCACGTCCCTCACAGGTGTGGCAGAAGAGTTAAGGGAGAGAATGCCAGCCTGGGCCAAGATGAAGAAAGAGAGTAAAGGACAACTGATCTTGGTAGATGTAGAAGTTTTCAGGAGTAGAGTAGGGGCCCTTATAGATTCAGGGGCCACCCACAGTTATATTAGCCGTAGGGCGCTGAAGAAGCTGAAGCTAGGACTAAAAGTCCAGAAATTAGCAGACCCCATAGTCAGTGTCCTCGCAGACAACCGCACGATGCGAGTTGAGGACTATGCAGAGGGAGTTCAGGCGTACTTTCGCCTAGAGAAAGATGGGAAGGTGGAGAAAGTTCTCCATTCCCTGACTCTCCTCGTATAGGACGACCTTCCTTTTGATGTCGTCCTAGGAATGGATTGGGGAGAGGCAGCAGGGCCCACACTCCATTTGAGAGAGCATGAGTGTAGGCTCCCTAGCCCGTCAGGCGAGGTTAAGACTGCCCGCCTGTTTCATGTGTCAGGTGTAGACAACACCTTGGCACATTGTTGTCTCAGTGCTCCCGCGTTCGCGCGGTTAGTGAAGAAGGAGCGGTTAGAGGAACAGGTCTTTGTAATCTATGTGAGACCTGCCACTGAGGCTAAGGAAGAGGTGACTTCCACAGATCCAACAATTGCCAAACTGCTGGAAGAGTTCAAAGATTTGACCGAGTCGCCGACAAGAGTAGTGCCGCGACCCATCCGGCACAGGATAGAGATAGAGTCTGGCAGTAGAACTCCTAAGGGTGCAGTCTACAGGATGTCCCCTAGAGAGTTAGAGGAGCTTCGCAAACAGTTAGACGAGCTCCTCGAAAAAGGTTGGATCAGGCCCAGTTCGTCTCTTTTTGGAGCACCTGTCTTGTTTGTCCCCAAGAAGGAAGGAGAGCTGAGAATGTGTATAGACTATAGGGGTTTGAACGCGATTGCTGTGAAGAATGTTGAGCCACTGCCCAGGATAGACGATCTTCTAGATCGGGTGCAGGGTTGTAAGTATTTCACTAAGATTGATTTGAAGTCTGATTATCATCAGATAGAGGTCCATCCTGATGATCAGTACAAGACTGCCTTCCGGACTAGATATGGGCATTATGAGTTCATAGTGATGCCCTTTGGACTAACCAACGCGCCAGCTACGTTTCAGCGTGGCATGAATGATTTGTTTAGACCCTGGTTAGATAAGTTTGTAGTAGTTTATCTAGATGATATTCTAGTTTTCAGTAAGACCCTCCAGGAGCACCAGGGTCATCTGAGGCAGGTCTTGGAGAAGCTTAGAGAGGCTAACTTCAAGATCAATGCGAAGAAGTGCGAGTGGGCCAAGACACAAGTCCTGTACTTGGGCCACGTACTAGACGGAGATGGCATTAAGCCAGAGGACAACAAGATAGCGGCAATTAGAGATTGGCCGACGCCCCGCACATTGACAGAGTTGTTGTCGTTCCTAGGCCTAGCCAACTACTATAGAAAGTTCGTCAGGAACTTTTCTACTATCGCCGCTCCCTTGCGCAGGTTGCTTAAGAAAGAGGCAATCTGGCAATGGGATAGAGATTGTACGTCTGCGCTCAAGAAGTTAAAGCGCGCGTTAATAGAGTACCCTGTCCTCAAAGTTGCAGATCCGTCGTTGCCATTTGTCGTCACCACGGACGCAAGTCAGTATGGGATAGGCGCCGTGTTGCAGCAAGATGACGGCAATGGTTATAGACCCGTAGAGTTCATGTCAGCGAGGATGCCCTCAGAGAAGGTAGTCACCTCGACGTATGAGAGGGAACTCTACGCTCTCAGGCAGGCTTTAGAACACTGGAAGCATTATCTGCTTGGGAGGCACTTCAAAGTATACTCAGACCACGAAACTCTTAGATGGTTAAAGACCCAGGCCAAGATGACACCTAAGTTAACTACGTGGGCTGCAGAGATCGACCAACATGACTTCGAGCTTAAGCCAGTGAAGGGCAAGTACAATGTAGTTGCGGATGCTCTAAGTAGAAGATCAGACTACTTTGGAGCTATAATACACTATCTGGATATAGGGAGAGACCTGCAGGAGAAAGTAAAGCAAGCGTATGCGGAGGACCCTATCTATAGCGACCTCCTAAAGAGAGTTAGAGAGGCCCCAGAGACTGAGCCAGATTACCGCACCACATACGGGTTGTTGTTTGAGAAAATTAATGTGTTTGACCGCCTGTTCATTCCCAGTAGCGAGGAGATCCGCAGCCTGATTTTAGGGGAATGCCACGATACCGAGGGACATTTCGGTTGGCAAAAGACCTTAGCCAACATGATGTGTGCGTACACCTAGCTAGGAATGAAGAATGACTGCATAGAGTATGTCCGCAGTTGCAAAGTATGCCACGCGCGCCCCTAGGTCTTCTCAGACCCTTGCCTATTCTGGATCAGCCGGGAGACTCAGTGTCCATAGACTTTATGGACACCCAAGTCAAGAGCAGACATGGTAAGAGCCAAGTCATGGTCATAGTTGACCGGTTTAGTACGTATGCCGTTTTTGTTCCTTTGCCTGCAAAGGCACGTACAGACTTAGTGATACAGAAGTTCTTTGACTTTTGGGTTAGTGAGAATGGAATCCCATTGTCAATAGTCAGCGATGGAGATAGTCGCTTCACCAGCCAGAACTGGCAAGAACTCATGAGAGTGTACGGATCTAAGTTGTTAATGTCATCTGGCCGTCATCCAGAGACCAACG